ACGCAGAAGCAGAAGGAGAAAAAGAAGAAGCAGAAGCAGAAGAAGAAGAAGAAGAAGAAGTAGAAGAAGAAGAAGAAGGTGTAGAAGAGGAAGCGCAAGGAGGGAAGAGGAACAAGCAGAAGGAGGAGAAGAGGGAGAAGATGGAGTAGCAGCAGAAGAAGCAGAAGCAGGGGAAAAAGAAGAAGAAGAAGAAGAAGCGGAAATAGAGGGCAGAAGAAGAGACGAAGAACAAGCAGAGGCAGGACAAGAGGGAGAAGAAGGAGAAGCAGCAGAAGAAGCACAAGCAGAAGAAGTAGAAGAAGAAGAAGAAGAGGAAGAAGAAGAGTAAGAATAAGGAGAAGCAGAAGCAGAGGAAGCTGAAGAACAGAAGAAGAAGAAGCAGAAGGAGGAGGAGGATGAGAAGAGGGAGAATAATTAGAAGCAGAAGAAGATGGAGCAGCAGAAGAACAAGAAATGAGCCACAAGAGCAAACCCAGCAGCCTCACCAGCGACCAGCAGAAGCAGCAGCAGTGCGGGCACAGCAGCAGCAGCATCACGTGCAGCAGCATCTGGAGGGGACGTTAAATGCCAGCAGATTCCACAGTAGCAGCACTAGAAGGAAAGGTATAATGCTTTATCTTCAGGGCTCTACGCGCGGCACATATATTCGTATATATGTATATATAATATATATATGTATATATGCATATATGGATATATATGTATTTATGTGGATATATATATTATGTATGTGCACGTATACATGTGCATACACATCTATGATGCCTCCTTACTGAAGCTCGATGCACGGTATATATATGTATGTATGTATGTAGAAAGCTACGATGCCCGTTTCTTCACGGCTCTACGCACGATACATATACACGTATATACATGTAAATAATATATATATATATATATATATATATATATATGGACATATACATGTGCATACACATGTATGATGCGGCCGTACTAAGGCTCGATGCACGGTATATATATGTATATATGTACGTATACCTTTACACGTATATATTCATATATATGATGTCGTTTTCTCCAAGACTCCAGGCACAATACATATATATATGTATATATACTTGTACATATATCTGTATATACACGTGTATAATGCCGCTTCCCTCAGGCGCTATGCACGGTATATATATATATATATATGTATATGTATATATATATGTATATGTATATATATACATGCATATGTGTAAATATACATTTGTGTATACGACCTGATAAAGAGGACAGAGAGGATGTGTCATTGTCAAAGAGTGGGGCTAGCGCTTGATCCAGCGAGACGAAGAGCAGCTGCAGAAGCAGCAGCACAAGCGTCCCAAGCAGCAGCAGCAGCAGCAGCAGCGGCAGCAGCGGCAGCAGCAGCGGCAGCAGCAGCAGCGGCAGTAGCAGCAGCAAAGTAGCAGGCGGCAGAACGACACGGATTGCTGAGCGAGCAGCAGCAGGCGTGCCCCATGCAGTAGTAGTAGCACGTGCGGCAGCAGCAGGCTGACTAATAATACAAGAGCAGCAGCGGCAGCAGCAATATATACTCTTTGCATACATTACACCCTCTTCACTATATATATATGTATATATATATGTACTTATTGCGCCTTCTTCCGCATACGTATTTTATACATTATCCGTGCCCCATGCAGTAGTAGTAGCACGTGCGGCAGCAGGAGGCTAAGTAATAATACACGAGGGACAATTGCAACAGCAGCAGCAGCAATATATACTCTTTGCATACAATACACCCTCTTCACTATATATATATATATCTATATTCATATATATATATGTATATATATATATTGCGCCTTCTTCCGCATATGTACTCTATACATTATCCGTGCCCCATGCAGTAGTAGTAGCAGGTGCGGCAGCAGGAGGCTAAGTAATAATACACGGGGGACAATCGCAGCAGCAGCAGCAGCACCGATATGTACTCTTTGTTCATACTTGACCCTCTTCTCTGTGTATTCTATATATATATATATATACATGTATATATTGCGCCTTCTTCCTCGCATGTGCTCTATACATCATACGTCCTTCTCCGTATACGTATATCCGCAAGAAATAATACAAGAGGAACAATAGCAGCAGCAGCAGCTGCTGGTGCAGGAGCAAGAGCAGCAGCAGCAGGAGCTGCAGGAGCAGGAGCAACAGCAGAGACAATAGAGGAGCAGCGTCAGCGAAAGCCGGCTATTCAGTTTCGCTGTATACTCTCTGTGTGCGTTGCAGCCCCTTTTTTATCTTTTCTTTCTGTCTATTGCGCCTTCTTCCTTGTATTCTCTCCATGTATTACACGTCGTTCTCACCTCACATACTTCTGTGAGGAATAATACAAGAAGACGGATAATATAGTGAAGAATGCTCAGTAGATAGAAAGAATATACAAAGAAGAAGGTGCTATATATATAGAGTGTACATGTAAACTGAGAAGGGATTGTAGCAGCTGCTGCGGCGGGAGCAAGAGCAACAGCAGACTGGCCGTGAAGCAAAGAGCAGTGCCGGCAGAAGCAGATTTTCCACTTTCCGTGTATACTCTTCGTATGTGTTGCACCCCCTTCTTCATATGTTCTTTGTATCTACTGCGCCTTCTTCTTTATATTCTCTCTATATACTACAATCCCTTCTCAGTTTACATATACACTCTATATATATAGCACCTTCTTCTTTGTATATTCTTTCTATCTACTGAGCATTCTTCACTATATTCTCTCTAGATATTGCACACCTTCTGAATTTACAATATACTCTTTGTGCATGTTGCAGGCTCGTCTCCATATGTTCACCGTATCTATTGCGCGTACTTTCTTACTATCTCTGTATATACTGTACTTCCTTCTCAGCCTACGTCTTTCTGTGAGCGATAGTACAAGACGGGCACTAGCAGTTGCAGCAGCTGCAACAACGAAAGAGCAGCTCCAGTAAAACCAGGCTTTTCATTCTCTTTATATTGTCTTTGTATATGTTGCACCTTCTTCTCTATATCTGCTTTGTATCTTCTGCGCCTTCCTCCTTAGAATCGCTGTATATACTGTGCGCCCTTCTCAGCTTACATAGATATACATATATCTTTATGTACTCTTTGTGTCAGTTGAAAGTAGTACAGCTGTACGACAAGCAGGAGGCACACACAGAAATCTTCCTACCGGCTCGCATATCTGGCGCTGGTTGAAAGTACAGTTGTACGACAAGCAGTAGGCACACCGTTGCGCTGCTGCGTATCACGGCGTTTTTCCCCCTGCATATTACAGAGAATTCGCACTACAAAGATTCTTCTACCGACCCGCATACTTAGTGTCAGTTGAAAGTACAGCTATACGACTAGCAGGAGCTGCACACGAAAATCTTTCTACCAACCCGGATATCTCGTGTCAGTTGAAAGTAGTACAGCTATACGACAAGCAGGAGGTGCGCGCAGGAATCTTCCTACCGGCTCGCATATCTGGCGCTAGCTGAAAGTACAACTGCAGGACAAGCAGGAGGCGCACGGGTGCTGCAGCGTATCACGGGCGTTTTTCCCGCTGCGTTACATCGGTGTCGCGCTTCATGATTCCTTCTACCGACTCGCATATTTCGTGTTAGTTGGGAATACAGCTATACGACAAGCAGGAGGCACACACAGAAATCTCTCTGCCGTCTCGCATGTCTCTTGTTAGTTGAAACCACAGCGGTGCGACAAGCAGGAAGCACACTGCTGCTGCTGCGTATCATGACGCCTCTCAGCCTCCCACGCCCCCCCAGCGGCCCGTCGAATGTTTCGGCGTAAGGGTGCGGCAGCACTGGTGCCTTCCAGGCTAATTTTTCAGGAACAGTACAGCTGTGCGACAAGCAGGAGGCACACCCATGCTGCTGCCGATCATGGCGGCGCTGCTGCGTACCAGGGCGTCTGTATCACGGCGTCTTCAAGCACCTCAAGACGCAGCCGCGGCACGTCGAATGTTTCGGCGTACTGCTGGAGCAGCAGTGGTGCCTTTCATGCTAATTTCTCACGAACGGCCCAGCTGTACCACAAGCAGGAGGTACGCATGGTGCTGCTGCCTACCATGGCGGCGCTGCTGCATATCAAGGCGTCTTTCAGCCTCCCACACCCCCCCCAGCGGGCCGTCGAATGTTTCGGCGTAAGGGTGCGGTAGCACTGGTGCCTTCCGTGGTAATTTTTTACGAGCAGTACAGCTGTGCGACAAGCAGGAGGCACACCGATGCTGCTGCCTATCATGGCGGCGCAGCTGCCTATCAGGGCGTCTTTATCACGGCGTCTTTAAGCACCTCAAGACGCAGCCGCGGCCCGTCAAATGTTTCGGCGAGCTGCTGGAGCAGCACTGGTGCCTTTCATGCTAATTTCTCACAAACGGCTCACCTGTACGACAAGCAGGAGGTACACCGATGCTGCTGCCTATCACGGCGGCGCTGCTGCGTATCACGGCGTCTTTCAGCCTCCTACGCCCCCCCAGCGGCCCGTCGAATTTTTCGGCGTAAGAGTGCGGCAGCACTGGTGCCTTCCATGCTAATTTTGCACGAGCAGTACAGCTGTGCGACAAGCAGGAGGCACACCGATGTTGCTGCCTATCATGGCGGCGCTGCTGCGTATCAGGGCGCCTTTACTACGCACCTCAGGACGCAGCCGCGGCCCGTCAAATGTTTCGGCGTACTGCTGGAGCAGCACTGGTGCCTTTCATGCTAATTTCTCACGAACAGCTCTGCTGTACGACAATCAGGAGGCACACTGGTGCTTCTGCGTTTCACGGCGTCTTTCAGCACCCCACGCCTCAGCGGCCCGTCGATTGTTCGGCCTATGCTGGGGCAGCACTGATGCCTTTCCTTATAACTTTTCACGACCACTACGGGTGTACGACAAGCAGGATGGACACCGCGGCGCCGCCGCGTTATCACGGCGACGCTGCTGCGTGTCACGGCGTCTTCCAGCACCCCCAGGGCGCAGCCGCGGTCCGTCGAATGTTTCGGCCTGTTGCTGGAGAGCACAGATTAATTTCATCCTGATTTCTCATGAATAGTAAAGCTGTACGACAAGCAGGAGGCCCGCCGGTGCTGCTGCGTGTCACGGCGTCTCTGCGAATCATGGCGTCTTTTAACACGCCGCGCCTCAGCGGCCCGTCAAATGTTTCGCCTATTGCTGGAGCAGCACTGACTGGTTTTATGCTAATTTCTCACGAACAATACAGCTGTACGACAAGCAGGAGGCACACCCGTCCAGCTCCCTTGCGCATCATGGCGTCTTTCAGCACCCGCGGCCCGTCGATTGTTTCGGCGTATTGCTGGAGCGGCACTGATTGGCTTTATGCTAGTCTCTCACGAACTGTACAGCCGTACGACAAGCAGGAGGCACAGCTGTGCTGCTCCACGCGTATCATGGCGGCGCTGCTGCGTATCACGGCGTCTTTCAGCACTTCACGCCTTAGCGGCCGGCCGACTGTTTCGGCGTATTGCTGGAGTTACGTTATATATACACACGCATACATATATATAGACGTTGACGTTGAATGACACATTAATATGGTTGCATTGTCGTTTTGAGTCCAGGACGTGGCATCTCTACTGGAGAACTACTCGAGCCACGTAGATGCGAATGAATTACAGAGGGTGACGCGCACGTACTCTAACCTGCCTCCCCATCGATACTGAAAACCGTGACTGCTGGGTGGTGGTGCGGAGTGGTTTCACTATAAAAGATATCAAAGCGATGCGTGCGGCATGCTCCGAAGAGGCACCAGCCGCGGAACTAAAAATGACAAGGTGCACCACACATTGGTTGCAGAGTCAGGCACCGATGTTTAAAACCGTAACTGCTGAGGGGGTGTGCTCTATGCTCCCACTAAGAAAGACATCAAAGCGATGCGGCGTGCTCTGAAAAAGCACCAGCCGCGGAATAGAAAATGATAAGGTGCTGGACGGTACCCAGCACAGCAAAGGGGCACAGTGGTGGAGTGAGGCAACCGATACTGAAATCCGTGACTGCTGAGTGTTGGTGCCGAATGCTTCCACTAAGAAAAATGTCAAAGCGATACGGCGTGCTCTGAAGAAGCACCAGCCGCGGAATAGAAAAGAATAAGGTGCTTCTCAAGGTACCCAGCGCAGCAGGGGCGCACGGTGGTAGAGTCAGAAACCGATACTAAAATCCCTGACTGCTGAGTGGTGGTGCTGAATGCTTCCACGAAGAAGACATCAAAGCGATGCGGCGTGCTCTGAAGAGGCACACGTCGCTGAACAGAAAGGAGTAAGGTGCTTTCACGGTACCCAGCGCAGCGGAGGCGCACTCTCCACACGGTCGTAGAGTGAGGCACCGATACTGAAAACCGTGACCGGTGAGTAGTGGTGCCGGATGCTTCCACCAAGAAAGACATCAGAGCGAGGCAGCCTGCTTTGAGGAAGCACCAGCCGCGGAAAAGAAAAGAATGAGGTCTTCTCACGGCACCTACGGCAGCGGAGGCCTGCCCTCCACACAGCGGTGGTAGAGTCAGGCACCGATACTGAAAACCTTGACTGGTGAATGCTGGTGCTGGACGCTTCCACTAAGAAAGACATCAAAGCGAGCGGCCTGCTCTGAGGAAGCACCAGCCGCGGAATAGAAAAGAATGAGGTCTTCTCACGGTACCTACGGCAGCGGAGGCCTGCCCTCCACACAGCGGTAGTAGAGTCAGGCACCGATACTGAAAACCGTGACTGGGAAGTGGTGGTGCTGGATGCTTGCACTAAGAAAGACATCAAAGCGAGGCGGTCTGCTCTGAGGAAGCACCAGCCGCGGAATAGAAAGTGGTAAGGTGTTTGAATTACCCAGCGCAGCGGAGGCGCACTCTCCACGTAGTGCTAGACACAGGCACCGATGCTGGAAACCGTGACTGCTGAGTGGTCGTGCTGAGTGCTTCCTTGAAGAAAACATCAAAATGATACGCGCGGCATGCTTTGAAGAAGCACCAGCCGCGGAACAGAGAAGAATAAGGTGCTTTTCACGGGTACCCAGCGCAGCGCAGGCGCGCAGGGGTGGAGTCAGGCACCAATACTGAAAACCGTGGCTGCTGAGTGGTGGTGCTGAATGCTTCCACTGGGAAGGATACCACAGCGATGTCCGCGGCGTGCTTCGAGAAACAGCCGCGGCTAGAAAATGATAGGATGCTTGACGAGACCCAGCGCAGAGGAGGCCCACAGGGGTAGAGTCAGGCACCGATACTGAAAACCATGACTGCTGAGCGGTGGTGCTGAATGCTTCCACGAGGAAACACATCGAAGCGATGCGCGGCGTGCTCCGCTGCGCAGATATGGCGCTGGTAGATACGTGGACGTTGACAGTTTTGCGACGACGTGCGTGCTGCTGTCTTCTGCGACTAGATACTCGTGGCAGCCTCGGGCGCGTACTCGTGTATCTACCGCTTGTATAACAGAAATAACTAGTAAATATGAATATGCACCCATAAGTACATGGACAACTACATATATGTAAACGACTGATGGCAAAAGGCACCATATACATATGTAGAGCACGGTGCCGCCGTGCTTTTACCAGCGTAAGTACCTGTGCGTAGACGTCAAAGGTACGCAAATATAGGTGTGTTGATATACATGCATACGTAGGCGTGCGTGCTACGCTCTTCGGCTAGATACTCGTGTGGCACCACCGGGCGCCGTTGCGTGAGAACGACTGACATTGCAGAAGGTACCCTCTACATGTATAGAGCATGGTGCAGCCGTGCGTAAATACGTGCGCGCAGACGCCAAAGGTATGCAGGTGTAGATGTATTGATAGCATATACCTATATATGAGCACACGGTGGAGCTGTGCGTAGATGCCAAAGGCATGAGCAAATACAAGTATGTGTTGGTATACATGTATAAATAAGTAGCGCTGGATGGCGAGTCAGTAGTTTTTAGTTCATGGAGCCAGAACGACAGCGTCACGTCCTTTAACGAGGTTGTCGAGGATTCTGATTCGTCAACAGTGATGTTTTCCGCGTCAACAATGTAGAGGTTTGACAAGTTTCTTAACTGCTTTTCCGAGAAATTGCTTGCGCCACTCCCGACGGTTGCATTAAGCGGTGAGGCTTTTCGCTACAGCGGTAGCCACGGTAAATGAAGTGGGGACGGAAAAAAGCAAGCCAAAAACGAAAGTCTTTCTCTCTCGACATTTGTGATAGGTCACACGCGATTCTGCACTACACAGCGTATACGCGGGCCTAGACCCCGGAACATCCACGTGTAAAACGCAGTACGAACTATTATCTTCGTTTCAAGGACCACAGCATGCACTGCAGCGGTGTATGTTTATATATATGTATATGCTCTCCATCCATCGAGGATGATTGCCTGCTGCAGGCAGCAACAACGCGCATAGCGTTTCCTCTTCTCTTCCAGATTGGACTACATCCATTTGTGTATAGATGGAAAGAAGTATGGTGTTTTCCCTCCAGTAGAGACACAGGGATATCATCCACGCTCTCAAAAAATAGAGAATTATGCTTACACATGAGGAGCAGCACGTCTCGCTCGGTGAACTAGGCTGTGCATACAGCCATACGTCTGTTATCACGGAGCGCCGGGAAGATCCCCGGCACACATTGGTAGAGCGCTTCTTCCCTCGCTGCATTATTAGGGACTCTTTTACCTCGGCTCCTGTTTCCTCCATAGACATACGCAACTCTATACACAGGGCGTTATGTGTAGCAGGGAAGAAGGAGAAGAGGGCACACTGTGAGCATCATCACTTCATTACGGATGGTGGATGAACACGGGTACCGCCCCGATGACACGTAGACGGCGGAAGGCGCTGAGGCATCCGCCGCGCTGCAGCGAAGAGAAACTGTGACCACGTTCACATGGCCGGAAAAACAGGAAAGAATGTGCGAACCTTTTCCCTGTGCTGCCGAGAGGCAAGAGAGCTTTGCCTAGCTTGAGCATCTCGGTATCTGGTTATCTCACACACATACACCACTGCGCATCTGCTCCATACAAGCGTACGTACGTATCCGTTAGGTATACACACGCACATACACATACACAGGCCATCATTCTGGCGAACAAAGGCACCCTAACACCTCCCTTGATCCCTCGAGTGGGAAAGTAGGACATACTCCAGCCAGTACGTACACAGCTTCTTCATGGGCTGACTACTACACGCAGCGTCAGCAGGACAAGAGTTGGCACGCCGGTTGCTCCTCAGCTCCAACAAACGTCGTCGCCAGAGGCCGGCAACCACTTGCTTCCTCTCCTCTTTTTCATCTTCCGTATTTTTGCGCAAGGCACCTTTGCGTCTTTCAGCACCTACGTTCTCTGAAAAAAACGGTTGTTTCTCATTCCAGCGCGCTGCTTCACTGTGTGTGTGAGAAGGGAGACGGCAAAACGATAGGATGACTGCGGTCACACGCGTGGCTCTCCTTTGACCCTGCTCTCGCCCACAGATTCGGGCCTCCGACAAACGAAAAAACCTGCCGACCTTTGCTCTTGCTTGTTTTTCACAGCAGCAGCCCCTCATTTTCGTGACTCTTGAAAGTGTCCTTTCACGCTGCTGAAGAGAAAGGCGCGGTTTGCGGCCACGCACTAGACATAGCCGCAGAAGATACTAGAGAGTGAGGGTCTGAAGAGCAAACTGGAAAAAAACGCTAGCGCTATCCCTTAGTGTTTAGGGCCGAGAGAGATAACAAGAAGCAAGCCTGGGGAGCTATTTCAGCGCGTTCACGGACGAGGTAAGCAACAGAGACAACGCATGGAACGACATTCTCCTTCCTCCAGAGTGTTTGTTGGTTGTTCTTCGCGACACTGCTTTCTCCTTCTGCTTCCAGAATGGCTGTTGGCTGTTTCTCCTCGCGGCAAAGCGGTCGAGATCGCCCGCGCGAAAGACCCTCTCCACCCTGCGCTTTCCTCGCGACACAATTCTTCTCTCTCCTGAACAAAAATTAGCGATTCGTGAAAGTTTTCCTTCGTCCCACAGCAACATACGTCACCCGTTCGCACAGGGCCCTATTTCACTTCTGTTCCGGCGAGCAATCTCCTCGAGGTTGGAAGTGTCTGCTCGTATTCTTTGATATTGCGACAGCAGAGGAATGCGTAGGACCGTCTGGACGCCTCTTGATATTTTCTTCCTTTTCTTCGCGCGCTTGGTGCTACACAGCTGCACGTGGTCTTGCGCTTTCTGCGATCTCCACAAGAGTCAGCATGCCACCAATCTCCGAAATTTTCTTCCGTTTCCTCGCGCGCTCGCTGATATACAGCGGCGCCTGCTTTTTCGCTTTCTGCGGTCTCCAAGAGTCAACCACGCCACTAGTCTCTAGTTTTTTCTTCACCGACCTTCTTCCAGCGGCTGAGACAGAAGTGCGCTGCAGGTTACCGCCAATTTCACAGCCATAGAGACAGTGCCTCGCACAGGAGTGCTTCTTCTTCGCCGCAAACGCCACACCGGTAACTGCCTCGTGAGTACATGCTTCCTTTCCTTTCCTCCACTCAGCTGATTTCCTCGCTTCTCCCCTCCAGTCTGCTTGCCTTTTTCAGCAGCGTTGTCATGGGTTCTTCTTCCGTTCCCGTTTTCCTCTGTCGCTTCCCCTCCATTCTGCACATCGCCTTTGGTATGTAGGAGAGGACTTCTGCTTGGCGGCGTCCTCGCTTCTCCCGTCCAGTCCGCTTGCTTTAAGCAGCGTTGTATTGAATTCTTCCGGTTCCGTTTTCCACTGCTGCTTCCTCTCCATTCTGCACGCCGCCCTGATATATAGTAGAAAACTTTTTCCTATTACTCCTCCTGGCGGCCTCCTCGCTTCCCTCGTCCACTGTGCCCGCCTTTCAGCAGCGTTGTCCAGTCTTCTTCCGCGTCCACCCTCCTCTGCTGCTTCCTCTCCTCCCGGCTACTACCCTTGCCGAAGAAGACTATTCCCCTCCATTCTTACGGGAGGGCATTTCTCCCCCGACATATCCAGAAAGACTACTTCCCTCCTTTCTTGTAGGAGGCCATTTCTCTTTCGTACCTGGCCTTGTCTTGCACCGCCTTTGTCTCGTAGGGCTTCTTCTGTGCTTCCGACAGCTTGCCCCATGCTTCCCCCACCATCTTCCCCACCTCTGCCAGTTTCGATTTCAACTCTGGGTTCTTTTTGATGATTTCTTCTCTCTTTTCTTTTGAAAAGAAGATGAAGGCACTCAACGGCCGTTTCGGCGCGTTGGGGTCCTTCTTTGCTTTTCTCTGACAATTGTTTTCTTCGGAGCCATCTTGCTGAGAAAAGAAAGAACTACGTGCCTTCTTCAGTGTCAACACAGACCCTTTCCTACTCGCGATTGCTTCGCTTCCGAAAGGAAGCTGCGATTCTCAGCTTTTTCCGATATTCCTTGTGTCCCCCCGTTTCTCTCCTTTCTCACCCTGCGCCCTCGCCCTCACTTGCTAGTTTTCTCTTTTCTCCGTCTCCAAGACTCTCCCCGGGCTTTTCTCGACCACCTGTCCTGATAATGTTCCGCTTTTTACTTTCAGCTTCTTTATTTCTGTACAGGTTCCGACTTCCTCTGTCGAGCTCAAACCGCTCTCGCCCGTTGGTTGCCTTAGTTCTTCGTCTTCAAGGCCCCCTCTGATCCTCCTCCCGGCCACCGACTCTAGTGATCTTCCGCTTTCTACGTTGAACCTCTTCGTTTCGGCACAAAGGATGCCTTCCTGCGTGGACTAGACCCGTTATGTGCAGGTTTCGATAGCGTTAACGGCAGAAGACCGTCTTGCGGACAGTTTCTGTATAAGGTTCCCGCGTGATCTTCCTCACCTCAGGATGACAGAGATGTAGTAGTAGGCGTGGAGTTTGACGAGCGTCGAGTCTGAGCGCTCGTACCAGTGCGAATTTGGTCACTTCCTACTGTCTACACAGACACAGGTGTCACTCTTTTTCGCGCAGCGTCGGCACCACTGCGGCTGTCTACAACTAACCGAAGATTGTCTTTCCTCTTTGGTGAAAAGAAAACTATGAGTGCGATTACATATGCAGGCACAGGCGGCCCCTCGTTAAGGGTGTCCACCATACACGAGACGCGGAAGTAGAGTATCGTAAGTGGAGTTCTCCACCTTGGTTGTATATACATGAGGAGAGCAGGAGAGAAATAATTTCTTTCCGTTGTACTGGCGCTCCCTACCCGGAAGAAATCCGCAACCACGCACACATTCGCACACACAACTGTGCGCACACAAACCAAGCTATACACACACATAAGGTACGGGTACAGCTGTACGCGGGCGCGCACACACCTATCCACACCGCTCCTACGCGTTGTTGGTGCGCACTTCTCTTGCCGCAGAAGACAGGGAGAAGTAGACGCTGTTGCGGCGGCGCGGAGGCGGGCATAGAGCCAGCCAGCAACGCGTGCTGATGGTGGTGCGCTGTTGCAACTGCTACGGCTGCGCAGTGGCGCAGCAGTTGCAACAGGTGTAGGTGCGGCAGGTGCACGACAGGAACAGTCGTCGTGAGCCGCGGCAACGCGCTGGCGCTGGCGTAGCAGGAGGAGGAGGTGCGGAAGGTGTGCAGGGGTGCAGAGCGTAAGAGCTGTGTGTTCGTGTGTGTGGCGTGAGTGTGCGAAGAGTAAGTAGCCGCAGCACCCGCGGCAAGGAAAATTGGCGGGGGGAGCGGAGAGAAGTAGTTGGAGGAGGGGAGAGAAGGAGCGGGTAGACGCACGGGGTTGCCTCGTCCTCGTCGCTGAAGTCCACCCCGCACACAACAACACAAGCAGCACACACACACACACACACACTTATTCATACACTCACACAGAGAAACACATACACACGTCCACACACTTGCACGCGAACAGTGGGTGTGGCGCGGTGAGGCCATCTCGGCCGCGCACACTTCTCTCTCACGGCGCAGCGGCAGCCACCACGCGGTGTGTGCAGCTAGGTGCGTGTGTATGGATGGATGCGTGCCTGTGTCGGCTGGAGGAGGTAGAGCTGGAGGAGGTAGAGGTGGAAGAGGAGCGGGTGAGGAACGTAGTAACTGAGGGTGGAAATCGAAGCGGCAGACCATCTGCAGGCGGGCGGAAGGAGGAAGAAGAGGTAGTACCGAGGAGGCAGCGCGGCACACACACCCCGCTGGGGCAGTAGTCGTCGCCTCGCCGTAGTAATTGGAGTAGACAGGCCCGCAACGCAGGACGACGACGAACATCTAGTAATAGTAACCACGGGCAGGCAGGTACAACCGAGGGCGTGTATTATGTGCCGGGCAGTGGCCACCTGGGCGCGGGTCTTGGGGGTCGCTGGTCTGCTCTGTGAAGTACTGACCGGTCGTCTCTCTATATCTCTACCACTGTAGTTATGAAGTCTTCTTGTTCGGTTGCGAGAATGAATAGAGAACGGGAACAACACCGCGATCAAGAAAAGAGGACAGCAGTCGTCCTACCCACCTGCACGACAGCAGACGAGAGTCCTGTAGATGGTAGTCGTCGTAGGCGTAGTACGGCGTGTCGGTTGAAAAGAGGGTCTTTTCCGAAAAAAACGACCGCGTTCTCCCTCATCAAAGCTGAATCACTGACATTTTTTGCTGCAAACAAGCCGCGGAGAACCAGCACCCGCAAGGCACGGCACAACGCTGCAGAGAACTTGCCGCCGGGGCTGCTCTGCCACCCCGACAGGAGTCCTACTCCGCGACTCGAGACGCTCTACAGGCTCGACTACAGGCTGAAGCGGCTACTGCGGCTAAAAGCCCTCTCTCGAACGATGCATAGTTAGGGTCTACGGGTACTGCTGTTTTTTTCATAGTGGTGATAGTCCTGGGTGCCTCCTTCTGGCGTCGGAGTCCTCGCACAGGCGTCTTCGGCTTCAAGCGACTCAGAGCCGACGAGGGCGGGTTGACCTTCTCGGAAGCCGTGGTAGAGAAGGAGAAGGAGGGAGGCGAGGGTCATGGAGGGAGAGATGATACGTAGAAGACTCACAGAAACGCTGTCAATATTGAGTAGTGAACATGCACGAGCGTCGAAACGTACAGCGGAATTCGTGCGCAGTCTAGCGCATAAGAATATCATCAGCAGAACAAAAAGCCTTTACAAGCGACAAGCGCGCACACACAGTATAGGAGTTGTTGCACGCCTCAGAATATTACTGGGAGAAGCGCTTGTACTACTGGTGCATGAAGCGCGCGCGCACTGCATCACAAGGGTACTAGTACTACTGGTAGTGATAGTAGCTGTAGCCGCTGGTGTAGGCTGTTGCAGCTAATGCTACGGCTACAACCGTGCTGCAGCGCCGCGCACATGTATGTAGTAGCCGCTGCTACCTGCAGCAGGTGCTTGTTAGTCGCGCGACTAACGGTATGCCGCGGCTGCTACGAATCGTGCTGTACGAGGCGTCTACTGCTGCTGCTAGAGCTGCTGGTGGTGGTCGCGCTGCCGCCCCGGTCGCCGTGGGTGTGCTCGTGTTTGCTGTGCTACTGCTCGTGCTCGTACTACTAGTGCTCCTACTACCGCCCTTGCTATTGTTTTAACGTGTACTGTTCTACGAATACTACTAGTGCTACTCTCATTAGTAGTATGACTCCCACTAGGAATATTGAAATAGAGTTCTGTGGCATGACCCTTACGTATGTTGTCCGTCGCGGTGTGCGAGTGCGCGGCCTCCAGCATCAGTGTTGTTGTAGTAGTTACAGTAGTATTAGTGGTACTGGGCGGGCGGGCCTTGTACTCTTCGTGTAGAATTGCTGCGGGTGCTCTCAATGTAAGAAGCAGGCACAGTGCCCCCGTTAGCTCCATCCTCATGTACTACTATTAGTGTCTGCGGAATCCACGCGCCGCGGGCCCTTACTTGGTCTGTTCCTACTTCTTCATCTCTTTCCTCCATGCGTTAATGTGGGCGTGACTTTATTCCAGCGCCCTCTGCGCCTCTCACTGGCGCTTGCTCTCCGGCGATCTCCTCGAGTACGACACCTCTTCGAGTCCAGTAGTGCTCGAAGACAGCTTCAAAGACTGAAGGCAATGTCTCCCCCGTAATGCCAGTACTACCGGGCCATTGCTTGGCCACGATCTTGCGGTTTCGTTCGTGCTAATGTATCTGCTGCTAGTGCTACTGCTGCTACAGTTAGTACTGGTGCTAGTGTGTTTCTACGTTTGCCACAGCTCACCCTCGCGTCTGCAGCTGCTTGAAGAGCTGTAAGGACAGACTGCTGTTGTTCGCGAGCACGTGTCTCTTCTCGTCAGGCGTTGGCCACCACCTGACATAGCTTCAGCTCTCCATCAGCGGCTAGACATTCACTACCAGTTCTTGTGATTCCCATGATGCAGGGCTGCAAAGGTGTGTCTAATGAGAATGATCCTCGAATTCCAGCTTGCTACTGGACGCTGTCGCTGACTAGAGTGTGACCCGTCGACTTCTGCGTCCTCGTACGACTGCCGATGCTGCCAGTCTTTTCGAGGGGGACAAGTAAGGGCGGGGAAAATATAATGCATATACGCGTAGCTATCGCTTCGCATCTCCCAGCCACGCCCTGGTGCTGCCAGAGCCGCAGTGTTCTGCCTTCTCTCGTGTCCTCCTCCCTCTGCATTCTGCCTGCCACGCCCGCCGCGTCCCCTCGTACCACTAGAGTGTGTCATTTGCTGACGTGGACCTGGCGCAAGGCTCGTGCCCTTGCCACTTTTCAATAGACAATCCACTTTCCTACCACCCGCGCGTCTTCACCCTGCTCTTGCGCAGCTCCTGCAAGGCTCGACACCTTTGCTGTCGAGACGTATGCCCCATCTCGTTGCTTTGCTGCTGCCGACGTCTGTCTACTCAAGTTCAGATGCACAGGCCCACACGCTGCTCCTGCGGTGGTGGAGCTTTTCAGGCTGCTGCTGCAACTAATGACTGCGCCCTTTCTCAGGCACACAGAGGGCGACTTCCAGCCGTAGGGCAACTCACGTCACTAAGTCTCTCTGCGTCTCGGAGCCGGTGCTGGCGAGCTTCATTACTGGCGCTTTCCCACGGCCTATAGGGCTGCGCATGGTCCCTCTTCACCCAGCAATATGTCGCGTAGATACTTTGTTTCTCTCTGGACGCTGATGCTTCTGCAGCTCTGCGCACGTCCCCCCCCCCCCCCCCCCCCACCAGCCCACAAGCCCCTGCCTGAATGGTCCGTGCTGTGGAGGATGTGCGCTTCTCGGTATACATGTCCACGTTTCAGTATTTTTAAGCGCTGCTGTACCAGTACTCCTCACAGGAAACGACTACCCTCATGGAACCAGCGCCGAGATCCAGTCGCTGCTGCCATTGCGGCTGCGCCTAATTTTCCTAGCGCCCCTGTTCTCCTACTACCGTTGTGCAAGAGATTTTTACTTCCTGTGCTTCGGTAAAACAGAGGCAGTCAGCTGCGGCGCGGCGTGCACACCCCTTGCCACTGTGCTGCCCTCGTATACGCCGGGAGGCTTCACAGCGGCAAGAGTAGGAAGGGCTATAAGCCGGCTGTTGTCACGGTTGCACCTTTCCTGCAACGAATTCCTTGCTGCGTCCTTTTGCAGACACAGCTGAGTGAGCCACCTGCTATCACAGCTACACATGGTGCGGCCCCCCTCCTGCAAGAAAATTCTTGTGTTGGGGCGTACTTCTTCAAGTAGATCTCTACAAGCAGGCCTGCATTACCCTTGCACGCGGCGCCGCCGCCTTCCTGCACGAAAAGTTATGTATCCCTACGTACTTGTGCTGGTACATTGTCTCGCCAGTGCAGCAGAACGGAGTATGCGTGTGACGGTGCCAGTGTTGGCGCGTACTTCTGCAAGTACATCTCTACAAGCGCGCCTGCATTACACATGCACGCGGTGCCGCCGCCTCCCTGCACGAAAATTCATGTATCCCTACGTACTTGTGGAGGTACGTTGTCTCGCTAGTGCAGCAGAACGAAGTGTGCGTGTGACGGTGCCTGCTCCTGCGGATTCCCTTCCAGCAGGTGCAGCTACGAGTCATGTCTCTGAGTCACAGCAGTACAGTTACTTTCCAGTTATACCCCGTTATCGGCCACACCCGCTCTTAGACATATACAGGACCTGCCGGGCCCGGACTACAAATCCAGAGTAACGACGTCCGGCGTCCACCTTCGCGGGTATCGGAAGGCTATCTCGTGTGGTCAGGATATCAAGAGCGACAGCATCGCATGCAGGCCTACTAGTAGGACACGGAAGCAGAGAAAACGCACATTGCACATACACACAAGTGCGCCAGTGCCGACAGGTGGCAGTCGAGCCTTCTTGAGATCGTGATGCGTTGTTGCATACCTAAGCGACTGACGCAGGTTCGCTTGGTCGTTGAAGGAGTCAGTTGTCCGACTTGCGCAAATATAGGTGTAAGCCTGCAGATATACGAGAAGAGAGACGCGTTTGTGGAGCTGCCGCACGCTTTGAAGGAAAGTCGTCCACCACCCGTACATCGTAGACATACACAGCCTGTGCGAATAGACAGACGTGTAAGCGTGTGCAGAGGGGGTACGTGACGGCTGTAGCGCCACATCAAAACGGTTTTCGTCAAGCTTGGGAGACTTAGCCATCGCCATTTACACCTTGCTTACGCAGTTCTAACATCAGAAAAGCGATTCAAGTGTAACAGTCTGCCAGGGTCCTGTGTGTAGACAAGCGTATATGTTTGGACGGCGGCGGCGCCGAGAGAATCGTGCTGTATCCACCCGCATGAGTGTAGGGCCTGAGCCGCTGCATGGGGTCGGTGTGAACGCAGACGGTAAGCAGGAGAGATGTTTGGTGGGAGAGAGGGAATTCTGAAGCGAAATTGGCAATCCTTCCACCGCACGTGCAGCTGCGCGAGGAAGCACCTCAAACGCCCGGCGAAGCCGGGAGCTGTGTGCCTCTGGTCACGCAGGGCTATCCGTAATTTCGGATTTATGCGCACAAAAGATAAATTCTCGGTCAGTGGCAACCCTCCCGCGCGTCTCACACACCGTTTCTCGAATCTTCTGCTTCACGCTGACCTAGAGAAATGAGTCTCTGAGAAAGCGCGACGGAAGCGCGCGCCTTCACCGGATGAGAACCGCATATTCAGCGTGACATATGCCACGACCAAGTTTTCGTGCGTCTGCATCCGGACATGAGCGTAGCAGTATGCGCGTCTGTGCTTGCTGCCGCAGAAACACAGGCGGACGGATCTGGGGTGGATGCGCCAGCGTATTGAACGCACCTCTTTTAGTCTGTTGTGCACAGCTGCGTGTATGCGAATAACTGGATATTGCTGAGCCCAGATGCACACCTGGTGACCACCTCGCATAGGCAACGCAATGCCTCGCTGTGAGTACCGAAAAGTGCCGCAGCCGCGCCTACGTACCCTGCTTCGGGATAGACAGGCTACCCCAAATAAAGGTTTCTGCTCCATCAGACTGACGTGGACCTGCAGCACGGCGATTCGGGGGCACTGTTGTAACGTTGAGGCCCGCTGGGGACACTGCCACAGAAACATATTTGCTGGCTTTTAATCATCATGCCCGGTCACGGCTGTAAAAATTCAGATTGCTACGTCACCGCCGGTATCGCGCGTGTGGCTGATGCACTCAGTGCTGCAAAATCACCCCCTTAACGCACGCAGCTGTGGGCCTCGGAGCACACGCACAGACAAGCGGATGCTTTCCCTCTGCATCTTGTAACAGAAGCGTATACGTGTTATCGCTGTTTGCACACTACTTAATATAAGTGGACTAGGTCACACCTGAAGAAGGCTTCTGCGCCTTCGCAGAAGGATTGTCTCGCCCGTTTTTCTCGTTACGTGTATGTGAATGACACCAACCTGACTTACACCACTGAATGTTGCCACCGCCGGTTGCTCTCCTCCAAGAAATTCCATGTCGTGCAGTGCTCGTGAGGCACCCGGGCGCCGCGGATAGTTTTTTCGCCGCATAAAGAGACCGGGTCTGGGAAAACAGCGCGCAACCCCTGCGTCTTGAAGAAAAAAACCATTTCTAAGAGCGTTCTTAACGAAGGCGGCAAAACTAATCAGAGGCGTAGTTCACTACGGCGGGAGAAGACCGGTGTGTGTTGCCTAATAAGTCTGTTTAAGAGTACAAATCCACAGACAACCGCGCAGCCAGCACACTCAAAATGCGGATCCACGGCTTGGCTGCACTGATGCCTCTGCAGACACGTCTATACAACGGCAGGTACACAAATGTATCCGCAGCCAATGTAAGAGACATAGACACTAGCACATGCAAACGTACCCACACGGACATGAGTGTTTCACATCATGCCTCGCAACACAAGCACCGCCACTGCCGCTAGTATATGGTGTCCTGCTCTGCGTCCCTACCTGCGTACACGCGTTTCTCTCTTCAGCTGCTCACAGAGTCGCGTCTGGCCTAACTGAAATAAACCGATAATAATAACTTGTGCGCGCGTGGTCATGTCTCGACCTGCGGGCGCACAGGCGTCCACACATCCCGAATCACACAGATGTGCACGCTTCTGAAAATATGTTGCGAACGTTCATGCGCAGGTGGATTAATGCAGGACATGCACTTGGCGGACGTGCGTTAGTCTCGGAAAAATACGGAAGGAAAGGGGGCTGCTGATCCGTCAAGCCGCGACATTGGTAGGGGCCACGGAAGCGTCGATGTCTCCTACGTCGCCAAAACTTTTCTCGATGGCGTCAACGCCGCTGCGAGCCGCGCTGTACACATTCGCAGCACAGACAACATCACAGAACCTCCAACGGATGGAACACTGACACGCAGCGTCCACTTCGTCGATCATCGGCCGGTCATAGACCCGCATAAAATAGAATGTGGAAGGTCCATAAGCAGCGGCTTTCGTACTATTCTGCTGCAGCTTGTGTCACTTGCCAGCGTCGCAAACGTGAATGAGTGAGCGGAATAGGGCTATGCCCGCGCCCTGGTTCCGCCTTACTTGTACATGATATATGCAAATACAGTGCGGACACGTATTCCTGCTCGACCCCGCTGTCGACAGCTGCAGATAGAATGCCAGACCTTAATCCCTGCTTCAGGCCGCGGTTTCCATAGCTTCTAACACATAAGCGCGATGAAGTTGCAGCTGTATCATCAAATTACAGTACACCCACAGTCGCCGACGGACAGCCAGAGAAGGCGCTAGTCCCTCCAGGCGCCAGTTCGCTAACGAGGAGATGGGCTAGATGTTCATGTTGCATCTTCGAGCTCAAAGCCTGCGCGTTTTCCAAACCGAATATCACGCAGCACTTTTCTTTGTCGATAAGATACGCTCACAGGCGGAGTGCCTGGTGGCGCGTGCGCTTCGCGCGCAGAACCGCCTAGGGGACACAGAAAGGGATCCTATTATGCAGCACTTGTGTGTATCGCGACTAGGAGACGACTATACCAGAAGCGCAGTTACGAGTAAGCACCAAGTAGAGAACTCGAAGGCTGTCTGTTATCCGCTGATGAGCCCAGCATCTCACAGGCTCCCTGGTTCCTCTCCCACATGAAGACACCACTCCACCGCACCTCATCAGCAGAGTGTTTCGTGCCAGCATGTATCCATTAACGCATACAACTGGGGCGCTTAGCGTGGGACGCGTCCTGCCATATGAAGCTGGATGGTAGAGCGTTTCCGCATCTAGTCCGCTTTGATGCACGTACGCCGCCCTCCCCTTCTACAAGTACTACTACGTGGGAACGTTAAACGAGATATTCAACGTGTGTGCGGCTGGCAGCAAGGACGTACATTTACGCGCGAAAATTTCACAAGACGACCGAGAAACGTACGATCTACGTGGAAGGCCCTGTCTGCGGAACGTTTGGGATAAAAGAGATAGAGGACACGAAGCATACTGCTGTAGTGAATTTATGCAACGGTAGGTTCCTCACTCAGGGACGTCGCTTTTGTTCTGATGTAAGCAGCGGTATTACACCCCAGGTCACCCTGGGCACTTGCGTGCTGACATGTGCTACGACGCGTGTACGTAAGCCTATGCGCTGCCCGTGTGTATGTAGGTGCGGAGGCGTATAGCTACGGGGGGCTAGCCAGCTAGCTAGTGTACATGATCACAAACAGACCTATGTGTGATTCTAGACGAATGCGTCTCCGCACGTGTGAGGGAGCCTATGCGGGAACGTGTACAGCCGGGGAGACGCTGGATCGTAAAGGAAGGACTGGGCTGTCGTATCATGCGGAGTTGGCGTAGCTGGTCAGCCTTGTGGGAGCTGCAGGCTGCTTGAGAGGACTTGCCTTGCGTGGTAGAAGAGGTAGGTCGCCCTGACCGCCATGAAGGCAAGGGCACAAGTAATAAGGTGCAACGCGACTTCTACACGGACGGCGAGTCTCCTGTGCCGCCGGAAAACATAAACCATCATGAAGCTTGAGAGGATAAAGCATGCGAGAGATATCAGAAAACACCAGAGGATTCTGTCTTGCTGCTGTCGAAGGTGGCGTATGGCCTCGTTCATCGATTCGAATCCCCGTAACCCGCGCAGAGCGAGGCCTGAGAGCGGGTAGAAAGCCGGAAGTCGCACAAGGTAAAACAAACCACAAGAGAACACGATGTACGGGACAAGCAATACGTAGAGATTGAACGTCGCGCAGGTGCACGCCGAGATAAACGGGGTCGACGGTGAAGAATAAAAGAGCAGACGCTTAAAATAAACTAAGAGAGAGGAGGACCCGAAGTAAGGAGGCTTCTGGCGCAGCATATGAAAGGTGAGAAGAAAGACAGTTAGCAAAGTGCCAGCTGCGCCACAGAAGGGCACCTGGAGCCAGGAGCACCCAAAAGAAGCTGCTAAGAGCTGTTCTAGTGAAGCGTGGGATAACTGAAGACTGGAAAAACACACAGTAATAGCAAGCGGCCGGAAGAGCAAAAACAAAGAGCAAAGCAGAGAAGAGAGATGGATTGTGTGAAGACGAAAATGTTTAGAACTATTCAGAGGCAGAAGAGCGAATGAAGGCTTGGACGCGTTGAAGAACACATGAACGAAAAGGCAAAAGGGCTTCAAGGAGGGGGTGGGGCAGGGAAAATGAAAGGCAGATCAAACATGCAGTTACTGGAAAAGAAGGGAAGAAGCAAACGAGGGGCTGGCGGACGCGCGCCCGTCAACAGTGAGTGAGTGCAGATTCACCAGTACCTTACCACAATCGGTGGCATGCGGCCAACGTAGAACACCGAACGCGGACGAAGAAAGCCTGGCTTCGCTGCACAGATATCACTGGCCGTAACGAAAAACTCGTGAAACCCACCCCCGATCCCCTAAGGGAATGATATTAAGAGTCCTTGTGCCGACGTATGTCTGCATAGGAGTAGGTGGGTACGAAGGTGCACAACAGCCGCAGAAGCAGAGCGGTGCGGCCCGTACAAAAGATGGCATGCTTGGTTGGTTCGCTGGAAGGCCAGCGTGCGGTCACAGTGTCTCGCGTTATATTATGTGCAGAAGGGAAGAAAACAGAACAGAGGGAGTCTTACATCGAGATAGTCTACATAAAAAGCACGTCAATAACACTCGCAGTGTATCCTTACACACGTGGAACAGCGGGTTGAGCGCAAGACATCGTACGCATAGGCGTACAGCTGCTCTGGCCGGGATGGTGTAGCAGCCAACGTAGAAGACAAAGGAGGAGGAGCATACGCGTCGGTGCTCTCGTCACACTTTCCTGACTCATCTGGATAGAATACCACAAGTACGCGCTTTCGTAAGCAGGAACTGTGCATGGCTTTTCTTCCTGCACGCTTCTGAGTGCAGGAGCTTCTCATTTGATCTCGCCGGCGTATGTGCAGATACAATTATCGTTGTAGGTGCGGATCCTTACCAGTTCGGACCGAATCATTGCTTTTTTCCTGTGAAACAGAGTTACGCACATTGATACGTATAAATCGCGTACGCGCTTGTGATCGAATCATTGCTTCTTCCCTGTAGAACGACTTCTGCACATAGATACGTATAAATTGCGTACGCGCGTGTAATCCTTCTCAACGACCCCGCGCACAGGAATGCGATTCATAAAAACCTGCTCCACTGCGCCCGCCGTAGACTCCCTAGCAGCACACCGTGAGAAAAAGAGTGGCATGAGCTCGCGGGGAAGCGCGGTTTTCAGTATTCACGCTTCAGTGGTACATAGGCGAAGGCAACATAGTGTACCGCACCATCAGCCAACGCCGTTTAAAAAGCCGCATACGGGTGTGCTGCTGGGAGGTGTTGTGAAGATATTAGTCGTCCCAAGGAAAAAATGGCACCGACATTTGCGGTGCACCGGTAGAGAAAACAACCGCAAGGGAAGTCTAGTGGACAAAGCAGAGGCGGCTGGATGCCCGGCAAGCGTAGCTGGATGGCAGCGTGGGGTGTCCCATGAAAGCGACAAGAAGGAGTCGTAGAGAGAAGCTTGTGGCTGGGCTAAGACTTATTGGCACTGAGGCGGAACGAGACCAAAGAACTGTGGGCTGCTTCGCCGTCCCTTGTGAAGAACGGGGAAGGCGGCATAAAGCGAAAGAGAAGTGTTAAGCACCGGAGCGAGGCTTAGCGCACGCGAGTGATACGCTGTTGAGACCGCAGCGGAGAGGGAAGGAGGAAAGATTCACAGAATTCGGCGGCATCGAATACAAACGCAGCTAGGTGCGGACAGACTGACCAAGGAGCCCGCGGTTCGCAGACCTTTTACACGAGCCCAGTCAGACGAAGAACCGTGCACGAAGCTTCACCTCGTCCGCAGAGACACGCGAAGAGTCTCAGAAATGCCGTGTCTCACCTGCACAGGACGTCCTCGTGGGCACGTGACACTTCACAGACAGACGCCATTTTGTACTGAAAGTGACTACGCATATTCGTAAGCGCATGGTTCTCCGTGGGTCCGTCAGACGTCACTCCGCACGGCGGAATTCTGTGCAGCCGGAGGCAACTGCATGTGTACGAGCTCCGGAGTGGAGGCGCTCGTCCGCACTTCACGATCCCGTGCAAATACGTGTGTGGTGCGCGGCCTACCTCCGGACACATATACACACATGTCCACTCCAGCGGCCGACATGCTGACGAAAAAGCAGTGCAGAGGGATTTCGAGGCACACACGCAAAAGACTCTCAGCTTTAGCTCCGCACTATCCACGTAAGACTCACTGTTTAGTAGCCATCTAGCATACACACCTATATGCTGTGCGCTCAGAAACATATATGTCATTCCATACAAAGAGGAATCAGTAGGTCCTCATCAACATGCAGCAACGCACGGATTGCACCGACGGGCGCACAGCTGTCAAAGCAGGGCATCCTGAGTTCAAGCGCAGCGCAGAACATACGCCAGGTTTCCGCACGAACGACCGGTCTCCACAGAAAAGAAGGCAGGCAGAAACACTTTCAACTATAGCGAGAGCTCGGCTAATGCTCTATAGGCTTCGCTTATGGCTTTTACGGGTGCACGTAACATCCTCTTAGGTAGACACTCCAACGCGCTCCATGTGAGTAGTCCACTGGATCAGTCGTGATACCCACTTGCGTACAGTCGTGGGCGTACGTTTCAGCAGGCAGACATCTGCATACGGGCGCTAGCGGACCTGGGCGTCCGCCTACCTCGCTTACCTGTGGCGAGTATGCAGCTGAAAGTGCAGCGGACGATGACGTACAGAGCGAGAATGAAACTAAGGGTCGTCAGCGTGACAAAGAGAAGGGCCGAGAAAGTAGCTGTATTTTCAGGTGGAGGGCTTGAGAGCTGATGAAACGAGAATCCTCCCACGACAGTTGCCTGCGTGGCTATGACCCAGTAGTTGGTGGTAAACCACTCAAGCTCCGCTTTGCGGATCAGAAAGTCTTTCTTGCAGGTTCTGGTGACCAGCGCGTTCTTCAGAATCGGCAACATCTTGGAACGGGGTTACACGCAATATCAGCAGCCTCGCCACTCGCCGTAGCGCTCCGCGCAGCACTTGGAAGACCCGTAGCGCAACCGCGGGGGCCTAAAGGGGGGTCCGTGGGCGTTCACGGCTTCTTCAGTAAGTGTAGTAGGCGGTGCAGCAGCTGTCTGTCGCGACGTCTCTGTGGCTCGCGACCCTACACGGGGCTGCAATACTCAACGATGGAGCACCCTACGGGGTACAGACACGCTCGTTGCTGTTTCCCCGCTCGCTCGCGGTCCTCGGTCCCTGTCATCTCAAAAGCGAACAATTGCTCGCCTGCTGCTCCACTGAAGGTTCCTGCTGACGCCGCCGGCGGCCAAGTGGCCGCACTGAACGTTCCTGCTGACGCCACCGGCTGCGAGGTGGCCAGCCTTCTTTTCCCGTAGGAAATACCGGTCACGGCAGCCACAACACCTTCACGCTCCACAGAATGACTGTAGTGGCAGCAGCAGACACGTCGGACCTCGATCAGAACGCCGCGAGTCTGCAGCAAGGTCATGCTTTTCGTGGTACGGCTGCACCCTGGAAGGGAAGTAGTGCTGGGGCCGCCCCGTCATCACATAGACACTCAGTCGCTCGGGAGGAAATGGGGCTGAACCTGTCCTGGTAAGGTCTTTGTTATTATTGTTGACCGGCTTCCAACCGCTTGCCAGCAGACTCCAAACGCTAGGTGGACCTATAGCTTCTGACGCTCGTGGTAGCCATCCGGAGATGAGACAGGTGTAGACACCATGCGACGCGAGAGCTGCCCACTTTCTTGAAAACCTGCGCGGCGCCTTGCAGCCCATGCGACCACGTAGATGCACAGCGGGACAAAAGTGCCAATAGAATTGGCACCCTCCTGCAGTACTGAAAAACTAGATGTTATTGAAGCGGGATTGCTGCTGGCTACACCTGGCTACACGTGGCAGCAGTGGCTGTGGCAGCGAGCGTGGCGGCCCGCCAGCGGGACCGCCCCGCGCGAGGTACTGCTGACTACGCTAGACGTAGAAGACAGCCCCGCAGATCTTACAATGCAGGCAAAGACATACCCCTGTGTATGCCTACGCTTTCAAGAAGACACAGACGTGGGGAGGCATCCTCTCTAAGATGCTTCCAGTAAATGGAGAGCCATGCCGCCTTTTCCGTACTAGCGCGAAACGTGTGCTGCAACAGGATGTTGCGCCGACAACGGGAAAGCAGCGGGAAAGCAGCAGACGAGTTGTCGTTTGCCGGCCTCTCCGAGACACACCTGCTTCGAAACTGTGAAATCCTGTTGCAACAGCTGCCGTTTTTTAGTCGGGAGAGAGGACCGCGTACCAGACCAGCGCGCTTGTCTGCTTCTCCATTAGCTGCGAGGATTGCAGCTAGCGTACCCGATTCTACAGGCTTTCGCATGTGTCTCATCGTGTTGAGTGCGCCAGCGTAGTCCACAATCTCCTGAGTAACCGCCGCTGCTTGTGGCGGTTGTGGCCGAGAGGCGAATTCTCGACCTACGAGCACACAGTAGTTTTGCTGCTACTGGCACTGCGGCTGACTTGCTGTGGGGAGAAACAGAGGAGTACACCCGCCTGTCCGCGCGGCGTCGCTGCTTGTTGCTATTCGTGCTGAGAGAGCGCTCCCCCACATGCGAGGACTTGACAACTTCAGACGCGAGGCCTTGTGTTCGGTGTCTTTGCCCCCCTCGCGAAAGTAACACACGTATTTTCCCAGGAAGACGCTCAAAAGAGGCACTTGCCACACCTACTCTGCTACGGTCTTTGTGGCGGTGCGGCTCTCTTAAAGTGGGTCCAAACAGCAACCTCTCGGCTCACGGCACGCTTTCTGGCACACGTTCTTATCCGACTGTTCGTGCGTCCCTGCACGCTACACCAGGACCCCTGCGACGCACACGACCTCGAATCAAGCCGGACACTCGCACTCCAACTTTCGAGCAAACAGGCGCTTGTTCTTCACCACCTGGGCGCGAATACTGGGCTTAGCTGACTCCCCTGCGAATGCAGGAGCACGTCACGGCCCCGTGTGTCACCACGCACAGGGCGTACGAGTGTCTTCGGCGCGAAGGCGCCGCTGAAGTGCTCGCTGCTGCATGAGGAAAGAGGTCGCGTAATAATCTTTAGTGAAGAGGGTTTCTCGGGGATCATAGCAGGAATAAGAGACAGTTGGCTGTTATCGCGACATGTCCAGCGCGTCTTGTCCTTGCGTGCAGGCACACATTCTTTAGGAGTACACTTCGACACCGACAGTGGACTATCACCTCCCAGCCGTGTAGGAGGTGGACACCGGCCAGAGAAACTGATCCTTCATGCGATCTGTAGAATGCCCTTAGCGTCGGCATACGGTTCCGGGAGTCATTTGGTGCCCGATCTTCAAGGTGCAACTTCTCAGAAAGTCAGATAAATTCGTTATGCAGGTGATTCTCTAACGTACGCGTCACTTTAGACGTCTAGATACCGAAGAATGTTTGAGAAATTCTACCAGACTGTCAAAGCTGCAGCTGACTAGGTACTGAACGACTTGTAACCAGGGAGCGGGCGCCACAAGTGTGCATCCGGTTACCGTGATGCGCTTATTGTCGCGTAGGAGTCGGAGACAGGTGTGCTGTACAGTTGAATGGGAAGGCAGCAGCTCAACGAGCTCGGCAGAGCACGCTGCCCGCCTGCAGGTAGCCCTTTCTCTTGCTCTCCCGCTTTTTAGAAGAGGAGGAAGGTGGGTCTTCTGGCGATCACAGGCGCATGATGACGGCTTACAACCGTGGGAGCGTATCAGGCTTCAGAAGATGCGCGAGCGCTGTCGCTGAAGACCGAGGGACACGTATTTGACGGGTAGTGGTATACACGTACAGCAGCGGTGTGCACTTTGGCTTGGCTCTTCCGGCGCACGTGTGTATAAGTCCGGTCACGCCAAGCTCACCCGGGCCACATTCACGGTCTCACCTATCTCGTAACCGGCCTTGATGAGAATCTTCTCGTAAGAGAGCTTCTGTGGCAGTCAGTCTGTGAAAAGCTTATCAGGGCGGCTGCTACCATCTCGTCTATTTCACGACCGGCGCTGATTGTAGCCTTCTAGAAAAAAAGCCTCTGAGACCTGGGATATCGGGCACCGCTTTAGAGGTCAGTCCTTTGCACCGTACATAGCGTGCAAGTCCAGGACTGCGAGAGGTCCGCTGTAACTGCCAAGACCACTGCCTGAGGGCCCTGAAGAATGGCTCCGACAGGCGCTATCCAATATCTACTGGGTATGCCATTCCGTATGAACCACGGGCATTCGATATCCAACGCAGGGAAGTAGAATTCTGATTGCATAGAGCCCCCATTTATATCGCGTCAACGGCGGTTCGTACAGCTACTCCCCTTGTCTGTGAACGACACTGTGTTCTGCCCCCTTCTCTCCACATTTTGAACATTTCTGGATGGTCTCGTGAGACCGACACATTTACGAGATAATTGATTTGGGCGAGTAAGCTGGACGCACTAAAGCCCGTAGCAGGAGGTGCGGTCGTAAAGCGCGTATGCGCTCTGCTCTGCAAGCTTATGCGGGCCAGCCTTGTGCAGAAGTATGTGCCGTTACCCGTCGTTGCAAGCTGCAGAACACGTCAGAGGTAGAGAATACAGCAGTGGCTCAACTTCTGTCGACGAAGGCGAAGGCCAGACTGAGATTAATAGACTGACGCAGCTTAGGATGACTGCTTCCGCCGTCGCGGGACTGTTTTTGAAAAGACTATAGTACCGGAAGGACTGTAGTAGAGGAAGCGTATGCAGCAGCGCAATACTTCCTGGCTGAGAGCAGAAGACGCGCAGCAAACAAGTAGGGCAGTTTTTACCATGCAGGTCGTGCACTAGCGTGGCCTAAACGGTAAAAGGCAGAGCTCATTGGATGTCTTCAAGCACTTGTCGTGGTCAGGGCTACAGTACTGAACACGGTACTACGTGGCCATCCCATCTGGCAAGTAGTCGCGCAATGAGAGAGGCGAAAAGGGCACCCAGACGCACACGGCCGCTTGCCGTGGGCCCGCGTAGTAACTCTGCCGCGACAGGCAACTACAGTGCCAGTGTCATGCCTGCATTGGGCTCAACAGTCTAGGAACCGACTTGTGAAGCGCACTTCTACCACCCTCGCCGGTGTGTGGTAACAAATTTCATTTTCCTCCGCACGGAGGGCAAAACAACTACAACATTAAGTTGGGGTCTCATAATATGCAGCGACGCTCATGGCTGATATATTCTCAGCACACCACATAGAACTTAACAGATTGAATAGATTTCGACGGAGGCCTACACGTGAGCTCCCCACGCCGAATCTCTGCGAACACCGCTGAAAGGTCGATATGTCGCTGTAGACATGCAACACCCAGACCCAACACAGCACGGTAGCGTAGGACGAGCAATCGGCTAGCCGTCAGCGCTGGCCAGCGACAGATAAGAAATCGTTAGACAGACTGCACCGCTTTCGGATGGTCGTGCTTCTCGGCTGGCGCAGGGGACTTCACGTGCAGCTGCTGCGTTTCGCTCTTTTTGGCTACGGGGACGCCCACACTGCGAAACCGTCGTCCAGTACTTCTTTCTAAGCATGGGTTGTGACTGAGCGCTTCATCTGGTATTTCAGCGCCCTCTGCGCCCCACTTTACCACCGGCCGAACCGCTACCGGCTCTCGCTGACACGCTCGACGTTGTAGGCCTTTGCACGCTTCCCTGGACAGGTTACGTGACCAGCGCTGATCAAACGTAGAGTCGGCAACGGTGGAGCACGCTACACGTCAAAACATTTTTTTGTCGGCTGCGTAGGAGTATAGATTTGCCATTTGCCAGACGCCAAGACGCTAGCCGAGGTCTCCTCTCCCAGCTGACCTTGCTTGCTTGAGGACTTTCTGAACATTGTACAGGCCTGCTGGGCACTCCTCTGAGACCAGCTCTCCCTTCTTTTCAAAACACCATTTCTTTTTTCTGTCGTAGACGGCTAACTGCGGTTAATGCCCGGACAGGCTGGAGATTGAGGAGAGTTTGAAAAATTCTGCTGCCTCCGTTCTTCGTACGAAGTACAGAGAGACCCGAATTGGGCTGACACGCCTGTATATGTGGCGTGCAGGCATATACATGTACGTGTATATATAATTATGTTTACACATGTGTTGACGCATGCGTCTGTACATGTGAGTCGCCGGGTGGCAGACCATTCTCGCGGTGTGTTGGTCTAGTATTTCCACCGGCGTCACCTGCGCTTCCTTTGTGCGCTGCGCCTGCGTCGTATGCTCTCTCTCTCTGAGAACTTCCTCAACTCTGAGGCACGAGGTATTGTGCGCGCGGGTGTAGACGTGTCAAGCTCGCTCTCCTTGACTATAGGATTACGTTTCGGTGAGTAGTCAGTCGTATGTGCCACAACCTCCGACAGCAGAGCACGTTTGCAAACAGGTAGGCAGCCTGGCTGAACAGGCACTAATATAATTACAGATATATCATACACACGCTCATGGGGGCGAGTGAAACGACGTGCTACCTGCACTTCTCACCTTATAACCATTGGCGCCGCCATGTAGGCTTCGTGAGCGCGCTTCCTTCTTACCATGCAACAACAGAAGAGTAAAATTATGAGGAGGACAATCATGGAAGTGCACAGAATGATCATAATTCTGCCGTGTTGCGAAGTGTGTTCCGCGGGTACTGTGGTGAAGTACTGCGGATTTGGTGCCAGAAAAGGGCTACCGGATCCACGCAGTGCTGGGCTGGTCATAACAGCTCCAAGTGTCTGCCAATCTATGAAAGAGGGGGGACGCAGCAGTGGGTTTACTGGTATTGGTTCTAGCTGCTGGTGCTGTTCACGGTGTCGTTGTGCCACGAAAGCTGTCTGCATCATTGGCCTCGCTCTAGCTATTTTTTCTGCTCCTGCACGTTCTTCAAATACTCCCGCATTTGCTGCATGAGTCGTTTCGTCCTTTGCTTTCAGTGCAGATTTTGGTTCTCCAACGGCTGTGGCTGCTTCCAGCTCCGCTGCAGAAGAGGTTTTCCCTCCGGTGGCGCCAGCATCATAACGGGCTTCCAGCTTTCGAGGCTCTTCCGCCGATGATGATGGGGCTTTCTGTGACTTCATTTCAGCAAGCCCAAACTCGCCGGACAGGTCCTGGCCCTCCTCGAAGACATCAGTCTCTTCTGCTTCCAACCCTTCAGCATCTGTAGGGGGTGGTTCTTCGCCTGTTTCTGCTCCTGATTGCTCAGCATCCATCGGACGTGCTTGTGCTTTTTTGAAGGGTGACTCTTCTGCGGTTTCCAGTCTGCCAGATGTCCCTACTTCATCGTTCTCCGCCAGTTCTCGTCTGCTTCCAGAGCTTCCTCCCTGTGAAGGCTGCGGAGGTGCTCCGCTTTCCCCCAGTTCCTGCTGCGGGCGATTCTTCTGTCGGTATAGGAGGAGGGGAAGCTTGGCTATTGTCTGCCTGGTGTGCAGACGATGGTGCACTCGACAGGCCTGAAGGCGGATGCATCTGTGATGTCGGTGATTCTGATTCATCCTGTGAAACAGAGAAGGGCATGGCATTGTGCTTGTCCAAACTGTTGTCCACTTGACTAATGGCTTGGGTCAAAGCTGGTGAACCAGCTTCCTCCGTCTTTCGTGCCGAGCTGGTAGTATCCTTGTACTTTTCAAGCGTATATTCGATTGGGAGCATATCGCCTCCCGTAGGACTGTCGGTGTTCCAGATGCCATCGTCATCGGTTACGCCTGGGTGGACGCGATCGTCCTGGTGCATGAAACTAGTCTTGCCGAGGCTTTCGTCTGAATCCAGCGCATCAGAAAAGAGCTCTTCCTCTTCGTCAGCGTCGTCTGTGACTGCTGACACCGCGTCATCATCATCGTCATCTTCAGCGTCGTCATCAAGCCCGTCCAGCATATCCTTTGTCTGCCTTCTACATGGCGGACGACACTTGTTGAAGACGGTGGGCATGTCCGGATACTCCAGTTCTAAGAAAGCGCCTTCAAGATCTGATGCGCCTTCGGTTTCCAGGTCTTCACCCGCCCCTAAAAACATATCGTCCTCCCCGCATTTCCGGACTCTGAGCCCCTCCCCAGGAGCCCTCCAGTGGCTGCAGACTGCTCATGTCGTCTTCGTCTTCCTCCTCCGCTTTGTCCATGACATCCCTCTGCTGAAGTCCCCGGTACCCTGAACTGGACTGACCCATTTCCTCATCACTCACATTGTTGTCTCTTTCGCGAGCCGCTCGTGGGCTACTTTCTAGGTGGCTTCCGGTTGTAGGCCTCATCTCTTTCTCGTCTGTGTCCTCGTCGTCGCTCTCGCCAAAGAGTGCTGCAGGGCTTTTAGGCTGCGTTGGTCCCGCCCTCGCCGGCGCTGCTGTCAAGAGACGAATGGTGGGGGGCTACAGCCATACTCAAAGACGCGTACGAGTGAGGGTATTCAGCAGTCCCCGCTCCTAGAGTGTCTATGCCTCGCCGTGCGGAGTGAGCAGGGGAAAGTGCTCCTCCTGCGGCCACCGTCACGCGGGCTCCGAGGAAGAGACAGACTGCCAGCAGAAAAAACATAGCCCTTGGCAGCGGTAGAGTAGAGGCGGTGAGAGGAAACAGAGGAGCTGCTGCGTTCGCACAGTGTCTTCCCGGTCCTGACAGCCTGAGACCGCAGCCTCGTGCTGGTACTGTCTTCTGACAGCAGCTGCAGAGCAGACGGCGCGTGACATGTGGCGGCCATATTCACTCTCCTGCTCTCCGGATGAAATGTTGCACGGGCGTGGGTCTCCTGATCCGCTCATGCGCAGCTGCCAACAGGGATCAGAGATTCTGCGTGAAAAAAATTGCATGCGGTTACTGGCCTTTTCAGGAGAATGTTGCCATGCAACCACAGAAAAGAGACTCGCACGGTCTCAACAGTCCTAGTGCGCTTTTCTCTGCAACTGTCTCCGACGTACTCTGCACAACACCAGGCAAGGAGGCACCGAATCTCCGTTCAGAAAAGGCTATTTCTACAGTCAGGCGCCGGCTGCTATGACTTGTGGTTCTGCAGTGCTGCCCTCGGAATCACGCACTACGACAAAACGTGCTGTGACAGCTCGCGGCGAGCACGTCAGCGATGCTGCTGCTTCCTCGCTTGCGTGTTCTGGGCTCTGCCGCCGAAACTGGCGCTGTCGTGCTGCTAAAACAACCGCCGCTTGTTTTTATCAAGCTTGCGTTCCAGGCTGGCTCGTGTTCTGCAGCGCGAACACCGCAGCATTAAAAAAAAATTGTCAGAGAAAAACCCCCGCCAAAAAACCCCCGCCACAGGATAGGCGCGCCAGTAGAGGTTGTTTGCAAAGTTAGTACTGCGGCGTGCGGCCGTTCTAGCTAACAAGGAGTCTAGGAGTGTGGCGTCCTATCTCCGGCTAGTGCTGCGGCTGGCGCTGCAGCTGCTGATTCTGGTCACTGCTGCTGCACTAGCCGCGGTGAGCGAGCGCCATAGATTCGGAACCTGGTGTTGATGCTTTGTCAATTTCTGCTGCTGCGGCGAGTGCTTCCGCTGCAAGGAGATGCTGAAGCCTCCAAAACTCTGCGCAGCCATCGCAGCGGTCGCTTCTCTGTAGCTGTTTTTCTGGCGTCGACCACGCTCCACCATCCACGCTGCCGCTGCTGTGAGCCAACGAGCACGCGTGGGTGGCTCAGAAAGGCTGAGCGCGTCCCGTGATCTCGCATGTCGTCTGTCATTTCCAGGTTCCCGCCGCCTTGTGTTGCGACTCTGGAGAGGTGCACGAGACAGATAAGACCACGGACCGTGGGTTGTTTTGTTGTACGAAGAGAGGCGCTGTTACCCTTGTATTTGAACGGACACCTACGAGCTCATAGGCGTCCAGGACCAAGCCGTGTCTGCTCTTCTGGTTTTTCGGGGTCGTGCAAAAAGTGTCTTTTGGACGGCGTTGCCGGCCCAGCGGCCTTCGCCTTCGCACCCCACTACGAACGGAAAGGAAGCACAGGGTGCGAAGAGAGAGAAAGGAAGGAGCACGAGCACCGGCAGACCCTAGCTGCCCCGAAGTGTACCGTGGCTCCAGTGTGCATACGGGCGAATTAGATGGTCGTGACCCCCTCGCCGTGACTTCACCAGCTCCCGCCGGCCCACGCGCTCCCTTTGAGAGTAATAGAAGAGTCACGGGCGCACTGCTGGGGATGCCAGCTCTGTCTGTGTTCCTGGGCTTCTTGTTCTTCGGGCGTCTTTGCGCGCAGTGCTTCTTTCCCGTCCGTACTGGATGCGAATGTGCATACAGCGCAGAAGCGAGGTCATCGTTGCCGCTCACGTGAGAACGCCACGCAACGCATTAGCTCTTGACCTACCTTGCGTTAGACTACGAAATGCGTATTCGAAAGAGCTCTTTGCGAGAGTCTGACACTTCGCACGCACTGCCTTGGGGCAATTCCGACATTAAGAGCAGCAGCTCCATCTGCGCCACTTAATGCAATGAATTCGGTAACGTATCTGTGAGGGGCCGGAGCATGAAGCAGCGGCAGCGAAGGCCGCGGCAGGAGGGCCGGCGCCGCAACGGCCAAACAAGTTGATGAAGCATATGACGGGCAGCTAGTTCAGTCGGTAGCACAAGACGCATCCGAGGCGTGTCTTATTTCTGCATCGGCAGCCACCTGAACTGAACTATCTAATCTGGCTGTCTAACGCAAGTGTTCCACTCCTGTACATGGAGAACACTGCGGGCGCCGATGCCGACGCTGCGCGGTCCGCGCGCCTCCGGCAGACACTGCTCTGTTAGGTGACCTTTTTTCTCCCATATTCTGCCGTTAGAAGTCTACGCAATAAAGACGTATGCAGATGCATTATCAAATACGAGGGGGGGCGCATGCGGGATAACGGACTAAAGGGTCTTGTTGAGTGCTTCAACACCTTCAGTAGCCACAAGTGATGCATGTAGTCTTCAGACGTGAGGCCAGCTGCGGCTAAAAAACGGTCATTATGTCCGCAGATATGTCAGAAGATGCGCAGCTGTATCGGACACGGCTTCTTCGAAAAGCCGCATGTTTACGGAATCTGCGTACCCAAATGAAAAGCCGACACGTCTGCAGATACCGCCAGACTCCGAGGCGACGTCGTAGATGTTCCTCTTTAGGATGTGTCTTTGCCGGGTAGGGTACGGGACAGCATTTCCAGGCATCAAACTCACCCGTTTACACACAATAACGTCGCATGTAAGACCTACAAGGCAGAAGCGTGTCTTCGAACGACCCTAAGCGTGTCAGGGCTTCGAATAGGACTGTCTATCTTCGTGCCCAGACGCTGCATCTGTGTCCCCGACGACGAACAGTTTTGACGAGAGACCGAAGGCGCAGACTTCCCAAGAATGCTTTTTCACTTTTTTTCCCGAGAGCTAGCTCTCAATAGGTATACAGATGTATATATATATATATATATATATATGATTTCTGTCTGTACTGCCTCTTTTGCGTGCCTTTAACGCAGCCTGAGAGGGGCACACAGACAGTATGTGGCGTTGTGTAATACACGGATGCTTTTTACGCGAGGCAGCCGCTGAGCGTGGGCCTCACAGCACGCTTGTCTGCGTGACACCTTGACGCGAGCGTCTATTCCAGTCAAACTTGCTGCAGGCGGCATACAGAGAAGACAGAGGAAGCACCCTCGGAGAGATACGTCCGCACGCCTGCTGGCATCCATACGTAAACCTAGAACTCCAATGTCACTCAGACCCGTCAGATAGCGACCGTCGTGGCACACGAGCAGAGTAAACACACGCTGCGCAGCATTTTACTAGCTTTGGCACTAGCACAGTAGGGCGGAAACGCGCAGCGTAGGCGCCGGTGCAGACTCTAAGAGCTGCAGTCGAATGTGGTGGCGAACAGGGCGCTACGACGATGCAGAAGAAACTGCAACAACGCACGCGTCGAGAAGACAGGTAATACAGACTTCGCGCTGAGTACTCCTCGAATCATGTACCAGGTCCCTGCCCAGGGAGGCCCAGAGAGGCGAAGAGGAACAAAATACTTCTAGGTAGGAACGACCTCTGCAACATCAGCGGAAGGAAGGAGCACCACATCAGCAGGAGAACGAGTAACAGCGGAGAGGCGCTATCACTTCCGGCACTCCTCTGTCGCAGCGGTGCCGTCTGCTGCTGTGTTGGAGTTTCAGCCTTCGTTGCAGCCACTGTTGATGGCTGTGCTCCTGGGACGCGGCTCGTGGTTGGCCAAATTGTTTCTCATTTAGTTTTTTTTGCAGAGCTTTCTGCGGTACTTGCTTCCTAGCGCCCTGCGAGGGTTGCGGCGTGTGTCAGGTGTACGCGTCTGTACACTGCAAACACCTTGGCGATTTGCCCTGACTTCCCATGTGTCAGCATATATACAGACAAATATATGCATATATAAATATACGTATGTGTGTGTATGTATGTAAGATATGTACATATATGCAGCGTAGAGCATATAGAGTACGTTTTAACGTCTATATAGTTCATATTGGCCTACTTTGATAGCCACCTGTTCCCGTCTTCATGTGCCAGCCGCTCTTGCTGCTCACACTGCCGTGTTTCATGACAATGGTGCATTCGCCACGCCACGGATCTGTTGCTGCGCCTCAACTGTCTTGCATTTCTCCTGCTGCGCCAAATGTGCTCCGTATGATTACCGCTTCCAAGCTGCTGTACCTGCTTTCCTACGTAATGCTGCCAATCCAAGGAGGACAGGCTTCTACAAAGCTTTCCCCCCTACTACGACAACAGCCGGAGCTACGATGAAGGCTATGCGGCTGTCGTCACATGCCGTGGTTACTTATCCGGGTGCTGTTACTTCCCCAGCTGCTGCCACCGCTGCAGCGTCTGTCACTGCTGTAGCTGCGGTGTTGCTGGCACTTTGGCGCTGAGGACATTACAAGCCATTTGAAAAAACGCCGACGTGCTGGTTTCCGTTTCTTGTAGCACTTATCAACAGTGCTACGATGAATAAGATACACTAGTGTGTCACTGCACGCATATATAAATTCATATATGTATATTTGTATATATATGTACTTACACAAATACATATGTGTATTTATCTGCGTCGCTTCCGTCTGTGCACTGGCACTGGCGCGGGCCTTTTGCGCATCCGGCCACCCATCCTCCAAGAGAAGTTGTTGAAGACCTGTCTTCTCCATGTGCTGATTGACGTCTCTTTATCTAAGCAGCTGCTTCCTTTGGCAGAGCTCAGGCGTGCGAGAACCATTCCCGTGTCTGCTGCTTTTCTGTGCGCACTGAGTGTTCCACAATCCTCCCCTCTTCTGCTCTACGCTTCGATAAATAAAGCCCGGACGTGCGAGAACCATTCCTGTATATATGTCTGCTGCTCTCGTATGCGCACTGAGTACTCTAGAAATCTCCCTTTTTTCTACTCTACGCTCTGATCCTCAGTAGTTTTTGCGCAGTCTCGGCATCCGCTCCGCTCACGTGCGGGTGGGTACTTCAAGAGTTTCTTCTCGTGCACTCGACGGTCCACCGCGTAACTTCAGTCCCAGCTAGGCCTGTAGACCTCCGCCTTTGTGCATTTGACTAGAAGCCGCACTCCGCTCTAGGGGACAATCAAGAAGAATAGTAGCCCTGCAAAACTCCGCCCTTGTGCATTTGACCAGAAGTCACACCGCCTCCTGACGCAAAAATCAAGGTGACTAGTAGCCCCTCAATATACGTATAAACGCACATTCTTGTATAGTAGCCCCTCAATATACGTACAAACCCCACATTCTTGTATACGTATGTATATCTGCATATATATATCTATCTATGTATGTATAGATATATATGTATATAAATATATGAAACTCCGCCTCTGTGCATTTGACTGAAAGTCACACCCCCCTCTGACGCATAATTAGGATGACTACTAGCCCCATGGAGCTCCACCTCTGTGCTTTTTGACTAACAGTTACACCTCGCTTCGACACATAATTGAGATGACTAGTAATCTTGCAGAATTCCGTCTTTTGTGCACTTGACTAGAAGTCACACTTTGTGCATTTGACTAGAGGTCACACCTCCCCCTGCCGCATAATTACGACGACTAGTAGCCCCGTAGAACTTCACCTTTGTGCATTCGACTACAAGTAACACCCGATGACCAGTAGACACTTAGAACTCCGCCTTTGTGCATTTGACTACAAGTCACAGCTCGCTTTGACAAAAACTTGAGATGACTAGTAGCCCTCTAGAACCTCGGCTTTGCGCATCTGCCTAGAGGTCACACACACGCGTCACTTCAGTCCGCACTAGCCGTGTAGGCTCCGCGCCTTTGTGCATCTGACTAGCAGTCAGGCCCCGCTCTGACGCATAATTAAGATGACTAGGCGGCAGTTCTCCGGCGGGTTTCCTTTTTTAGCGGCTCCCCGAACCCGAATGTCTGGTCCGCTGCTCGGTATGGGTTTTCTTCCTCGAGCACTCTACGGTCCACCACCTCACTTCAGTCCCCATAGTGTTGGCCCCCATGACTCCGCCTTTGTGCATCTGACTAGAATTCCGCACCTCACTCCGACGCATACTCGAGATGACTAGTAGCCCTGCAGATCCGCGTCTCTGCGCATTTGACTAGAAGACAAACCTCGCTCTGACGCATGATTAAGATGACTAAGTAAGGTGACTAGTAGCCCTGGAGATTTCCTCTCTGTGCGTTTGACTAGAAGTCAAACCTCGCTCTCACGCATGATAAAGATGACTAAGCGGCAGTTCTTCGGTGGATTCTCTTTTTTAGCGGGTCCCCAGCCCCCAACTCGAATGTCAGGTCCGTGGCCTGCGCCTCTGTGCATTTGACTAGAAGTCAAACCTCGCTCTCATGCATAATTGAGACGACTAAGCGGCAGTTCCTCGGCAAAATCCTTTTTTTTTTAGCGGATCCCCGCCCTCCAACTCGAATGTCTGGTCCGTTGCCCGGTGTGGGTTTCTTCCTCGAGCACTTTACGGTCCACCGCCTCACTTCAATCCCCACTAGGCCCTTATGACTCCGCCTTTGTGCTGCTGTCTAGAATTCCACACCACCCTCTGACGCATAACATGACTAGTAGCCCTGCAGAGTTCCGTCTCTGTGCATCTGACTAGCAGTCAGGCCTCGCTCTGACGCATGATTAAGATGACTTAGCGGCACTTCTTCGGTGGATTCTTCTTTTTAGCAGATACCCAGCCCCGCACTCGAACCTACGGTCCGTTGCGTGGTGGGTACCCTCCTTCAAGTCGCGAAGGCTGGTCGGGTATGAGATGTCGTAGATCAGCGGTGAGCAAGTTCCCACGCAGCAAGTCTGCCGTAATGCTTGCGAAGTTAGCATGTACTAGTGTATTATTACGTCATAATCTCAGCCTAGAGCTAAGGTATAAAGGTATAAGAGACAGTGCAGATCAGCGGCGCGCAACGTCCAACGCAACAAGTCCGCCATATAATGCCTGAGAGTTGGCATTTACTTGGGTATTCCGCCATAAGGAAGGCCAGAGCTAGCACCTGCTATGATATTGAGCTATAACGAAGGCCAACGCAGCAAATCACTCATAATCCCACGGCGTCAGCATTTACTGTAGGGTATGACGCCGCAACGAAGGGCAGAGCTAGCGTTTACCAAGGGATCGAGATATAAGGAAGGCCAACGCAGTAAGTTTTCCGTAATTCAACGGCGTCAGCGTTTACTATGGGGTATTACTCCGCAAGGAGGCCAGAGCTAGCAGTTATAGAAACAGTAACCCATAACAAAGGCCAACGCAGCAAGTCTCTCATAACCCCGCAGCGTCAGCTTCTACTAGATGTATATATATCGGTTTTTACGTCATAGCAAAAGTCAGAGCTACCATCAAGAAAATAGTAAGCGATAATGACGGCCAACGCAGCAGGTCGCTCGTACTCCCACGGCGCTAGCGTTTGCTACGTCAGCATTAACTATAGGGTATTAGGCCACAATCAAAGCCAGAGCTAGCATTTACTAAGTTATGAAGAAATAAGGAAGGGCAGCAGCATTGGCTATAGGCTATTACCTCATAACGAAGACCATAGCTAGCATTTACTAACGTCTACAGATATAACAAAGGCCAACGCAGCAGCAAGTCCCTCATAATCCCACGGCGTCAGCGTGTGCTATAGGGTATTTGTTACGTCACGACGAAGGCCCGAACTAGCATCTAATAAGGTATAAAGGCGATAACTCTGCCATAATGCTTACGAGATTAGCACTTACTAGGGTATTATTACGCCCTAATTAAGGGTAAAGCTAGCATTTACTAACCTATTAAGCTATAATAGACGTTGTAGATCAGCTATATGCAATGTCCAGTGCAGTAAGTCTGCCTTAATGCTTGCCGAGTCAGCATTTTCCGGGATATTAGGCTACAGCGGAGATAGAGCTAGCATTTACTAAGGTATTAACGCGGAAATCTGCAATAATGCTTACGGGGATACCATTCACCAGGGCATTATTACGCCCTAAGTGAGGCTAGAGCTAGCATCTACGAAGGTATTAAGCTATAGTAGACGTTGTAGATCAGCGGTGTGCAATGTCCAGCGCCGTCAGTCTGCCATAATGCTTAAAAAAACGGTTAGCATTTACTAGGATTTTATTACGCAGTAAGGGAGGCAGCAAAGCTGGCACTTACTAACGTAGGAAACGCGAGAACTCTGCCATAATGCTTACGGAGTTAGCATTTACTGGGGTACTGCGCAATAACGAAGGCCAGAGCTAGCATTCATTAACATATATATATATAATGGTTGCGGAGTCAGCATTTTATAGGGTATCAGGCCATAACGAAGACCAAAGCTAGCATTTACTAAAATATATATATATATATAATGCTTACGTAGTTCGCATTTCCTAGTGTATCAGGCCATAACGAAGGCCATAGCTAGCATTTACTAACATATATATATATAAAAATGCTTACGAAGTTAGCATTTCCTAGTGTATCAGGCCATAACGAAGGCCATAGCTAGCATTTACTAACATTTATACATAAAATGCTTACGGAGTTAGCATTTTTTTAGGGTATCAGGCCATAACGAAGGCCATAGCTAGCATTTACTAACATATATATATATATATATATATATATATAGTGCTTACGTAGTTCGCATTTCCTAGGGTATCGGGCCATAACGAAGGCCACAGCTAGCATTAACTAACGTACATATATGTAGAGTGCTTACGAAGTTAGCATTTACTGTGGTATTGCGCAACAACGAAGGGCAGAGCTAGCATTCACTAACATACATATATAATGCTTACGGAGTTAGCATTTACTAGAGTATTACGCTATAACGAAGGCCACAGCTAGCATTCACTGACATATACATATATATATGTATATAGATATGTACATATATATATATATATTGATTAAAATATGTTAGACGTTGTAAATTAGCGGTGTGCAATGTCTAGCACAATCGCAGCCAGTCGGCCCCCCCCGTGCTGCTGCTGCTGCTGCTGCTGCTGCTGCGGCCACGTCGTCCCCAGGTGGTATTCCTGCTGCTGCGGCTACTTGGTCGCCATGGCTGCTGCTGCTGCTGCTACGCCGTCTCCCGCTGCTGCTGCTGCTTCTGCTGCTGCTGCTTCTGCTGCTGCTGCTGCTGCTGGTGCTTCTGCTGCTGCGGCTGCTGCTGCTGCTGCTGCTGCCACTTCGTCCCCAGCCGGTACTCCTGCTGCTGCGGCTGCTTTGGCCTCATGGCTGCTGCTGCTGCTGCTACGCCGTCTCCCTCTCCTGCTGCTCCTGCTGCTGCTGCTGGGACTTTCATCCCCGGCTGCTGCTCCTGCTGCTACAGCTGCTACTTCGTCCGCATGACTGCTGCTGCTGCTGCTCCTGCTGCGCCGTCTCCCCGCTGCTGCTGCTTCGGCTGCTGCTGCAGGTGCATCAGCTGCTCTGCTGCTGCTGCTCCTACTGCCCCCTCTCCCGCTGCTGCTGCTGCTGCTGCTGCTGGTACTTCGTCCCCAGCTGCTCTGCCGCTGCTGCTGCTGCTTCTGCTACTTCCTCCCAGCTGCTGGTACTGCTACGCCGTCTCCCGCTGCTGATGATGCTGCTGCAGGTCCTTCGTCCGCAGCTGCTGTGCTGCTGCTGCTGCTGCTACGTCCTCCCGCACTGCTGCTGCCGCTGCTGCTGCCACTTTTGTCGCCGGCTGCTGCTGGTGCTGCTGCTGCTGCAGGCACTTCGTTGCCAGCTGCTCTGCTGCTGCTCCTGCTGCCGCTGCTACGTCCTCACCAGCTGCTGCTGCTGCTACTGCTGCTGCTGCTACTGCTGCTGCTGCTGGTTTGTGCCCGGCTGCTGCTGGTGCCGCTGCTGCAGCCGTTGGCCCGTCTCCCCCCAACTTGTTGCTTAGCGCGCGTGCTGCTGCTGCTGCTGCTGCCGCTGCCACAGAGTCCTCCACTACTAGTGCTGCTGCTGCTATCACAGACTTCTCTGCTGCTGCTGCTGCTAACTGCTCCTATAATGAAGTCCTCTGCTGCTGCTGCTGCTGCCGCTGCTGCCATCAGAGTCCCCCTTCTGCTGCCGCGGCTGTCAACAAAGTCCTCCACTGCTATTCCTGCTGTTGCTGCTATCACAGACTTCTATGCTGCTGCTGCTGCTGCTACTGCTGCTATCATAGAGTCTTCTGCTGCTGCTGCTAGCGGAGTCCCGTGCTGCTGCTCCTCCTCCGGCTGTCACAGAGT